GCCTCTCACCTCTGCCCAGTATCAACGGGGACTTGTCACCTTGGATAGTACCATATGCCAAGTCACCAGCAACTTATGAATAGTACCATATGCCAGTCACATGGCATCGGGGAGTACTGGTGCTCTAGAATGTTAGAGAAAGTCCAAGGTGAGCTTCAGGAGACTGGCAGGACCCTGCCACACAGTGCACACTCCTGCCCCGACTGTCCCTGACATGCCCAGTCCATATCCCTGTATGTGAACCTTCTTGTCTACATCCTCCCCCTCCTCCCTCTGTGTTTTATCCCCAGCCCTAATCACTGGGAACTCAGACCAGTGAGATGGGGCACCAAGGCCTGAACTGGCTATTCAGGTGTTTCTGTTTGGGTACCTTATCCAAACCTGTGCCCACAACTCCCCAGTGACCTACAATGGTGGGGAACATAGGGGGCACTTCTGTGATCACCCAGAGATACCCCAGAGGTTTGCTCACTGCTCCATGTTGTTTCTTGCTGCATCCTAACCCCAGCCACTCACTGCTATTTACAGATAAGGAAACTGAGGCACAGAATCAAAGGACAAGCCTGGGCTCTCTGTGTGGCAGTCTGACCCCTACCTACTCCACCTACATGGGGTCCCTTCAAGGCCATCGTTACCCACCCACCTGTCACCTGGTACCTACCTGGAGGCCCTCTGGTATGCAGTCCCCACTGCCACAGTGTGCTCTGAATTCAATATCTAGCTTTTACATGAACTGTTTCCTTCCTAGAGGTTGAATCTTGACTCAGCCAAACCAGGTGTCAGTTAGATGACTACATACAAAAGCTGACCTTGGCCAGGCCCAATGCCAGCCCAAGTTTCCACCTGGACTCCACCTCTTCCCAGGCCTCAGGCCTCAGGCCTCCTTGTAAAACAGGGAGCCTGGCAGCTGGTGAGGCAGCCCCACTCTCCAAGAGCAGAGCTGAGGAGCCAGGTGCTGGGGGAGGCAGGGAATACCTGCATTTTCCCTTCCTGGAGCTGTCAGGGCCAAGTGCAGGTAAATTAGGTCTGTCGTCTTTGAGACCTATCTGCTTTCAGGGCAAAGGGCCCTGAAGACTACGCCCCACTCCTGGGAGGCTGCTGGGCATTCTCATTAGGACATGGATGACAACAGAAATGTGTGTCGTGTACAAGGGGATCACCCCCTGACCTCTGTGTGTGTGTGTGTGTGTGTGTGTGTGTGTGTTTGTGTGTGTAGAGGGAGAGTTTTTTTGTTTTAAACTTTATTTTTATTTTATGTATATAAATGTATTGCCTGCATGTATGTAAGTGCAGTAAGTGACCTCATGTTATGCCATGCCTGCAGAGGCAGTCAGAAGAGAGCATCGGATCCCCTGGAATTGGAATTATGGATGGTTGTTAGCCTGCGCATGGATCAATCAAAACTAACCAGCACAGGTATGTAGTCACTGTCCCATAGCAGCTTTGAAATTTAGCTGGGCAAGTGTCATCAGATCCCTCAACCCTCAGAGTGAAGAGCATCTCTTGATTAGACCTATTCTTTGCTTCCCTGATCCATTATTCCTTTCTTTATTTGTCTTTTTTTTTTGGTCTTTTTTGAGACAGGGATTCCCTGTAGTCCCAGCTGGCCTGGAAATCACTATGTGGACCAGGCTGGCCTTGAACTCACAGGTATCTTCCTACTTCTGCCTCCCCAGTGCTGGAACTAAAGGCATGCGCCACCACGTCCAGCAAAGAACTGAGTTCTATGTGATTGACCACAGATAAGAAATTGGAAGCCCAGAGGAGAGCCCTAAACAGCTACCATACTGCCTGTCTCCAAGTCTAGTAGTCCCACTTTGGCCAAGTGTTCATCTTTTACCCTCTGTGAGGGTCCTTCTAAGAGAACATAAGTCAGACCTGAGTTCAGAAGGCAGCTGGGTGCAGCAATGAGTATTCATTTAGCAGGGAAGGGGGCCACAGTGCTGTATCAAGGCTTTGCAAAAATGCTCCCTACTTCATACCTTAGCATAGCCTCTGCCTCTCCAGGGTGTGCAGCCTCAAAGCCCAGCATATTCAAGAGCCCTGGACTTCTGGTTGACTTGGCAATTTTGCCCACACAACAGGCTGTGAACACCAAGTCCAGCTCTCCACGATTGATAAACAGCAAACATCAGAACAATAAACATCCTGAAAATGAATGAACAAACAGGGTGTCCACAAGCAAGCAGCCCTGCCCTCTGCACTTCAGCATCTCCATCTGTCAGATGGGATGACATGTACTGGCCCAGCTGCCCAGAGCCCCTCAGTGGAAGGAGACACAGAGCCAAGAAGAGCCCAGTGAATGCCTATGGTTCCTACTTCTGTTACAATGCCTGCTTAAAAAAAAAAAAAAAAAAGTGCCCAGTGGATGAGGGACCTCTGAAGTAGAAGGCTGGCTGACTGGGGTTGAGGGGAGGGGCAGGGTGTGGCCTTTGAGTGATACAGAGGAGGCCAGAGAGGGACTAGGCAACTCTTTGGGAAAGAGCAAGTGATTAATGATTAACAACTTCGATTAGAGGGAGAACCTGGCTCCTACTCAGACTTGACCCAAGCTTTCAGCCTTCATTATCTATGAAGCTGCATCCCACCCAACTTTATCACAGATATCCTCAGGAGCCCAGAGGCCAGTGGGGCATAAATGTGCCAGGGACCCGTGCCCCTCCACTGCCTGCCACCCTTCAGCTGCCTGTCACCCTCAAGACACACAGCCTCCCAAACCCAAGCAGGTGGCCTGACATATCTGCAATAAGGAACAAGAGATCAAGGAAGTCCAAGCGCCAGGCTGAGGTCGGCTCTACCCTGAACCCATTTCCATGGCTGTCAAGTGGACAGCAGGGCGTCCTCTGCACCAGCGCTCCCCACCAGATGGGCATCTTGAGAATGGAGATGGGTGGTGCTCTAAGAGTGGGTGGCTCTGCGGGGTGTAGTGGCGCACGCCTTTAGTCCTAGCACTTGAGAGGCAGGGGCAGGCGGATCTCTGTGAGTTCCAGGCCAGCCTGGTCTACAAAGTGAGTTCCAGGCCAGCTTGGGCTACAAGGAGACCCTGACTCAAAAAAAAAAAAAAAAAAAAAAAAAAAAGAGTGGGTGGCTCTCCTAGCTTACTGAGGCCGAGGACAAACACAACCAGAGGGGCCAGGGCTGAAGGCCTTGGGCTCTGACAGAAGAAACATTTCAGGCCCCTCTATTGGTGTTGGGGGACAGCTCTCCAGTGCAGCTCTCTGGAAGCAGAATGAGGTGAAGGCAGCTCTACATCAGTAGCTTCTGAGACTTGAATACAGACCTTTTTTCATCTCCACAACCAAGTGATCCTAGGCAGGTCACCTAATAGCGCAAGCTTCAGCATTCTATTTTGCACAGAACAACCAGGCCTCTTCTCACTTCTTGAGTGTTAAATGGGATGACACCCAAGGATCCCTGACAGAGCCCTGTCCTACAAGCTCCTGAGATGGACCTCATACCCCTTTTCATGCAGCCTCATCCCATGCCTGCTGGGATACTGCACCCCTCTTCCTCTTCTGCCACCCCAGGCCCTGCACGCTGGCTTCACTCCTGCCTCTCCACCCTGCCACTTCCTGTACCATTTTCCCTCTTCCCTAACCAATCCCTCCTCCTGGCCCTTCCTCTCCAGGCTCAGTTCTACCCTAGGGCCCTCACGTTGGCTGTTGTTTCTTCCTTTCCCTCAGATCTTAGCGTGCCAGCAGCCTCTCTTTCTGATGTCATTGGTCCGAGGCCCTTGTGACCCCTGGTTCCCAACAACCCTCTCCAGGTCTTGGCAGTCGACAGCTCATCCTTGGAGGGAGGTACTGATACTTGTTTATATCTTCCTGTCTCCAGGAATGTCAACCACAGAGAGAAGGGTCACTGTTGCTCCCCACCCCCATGACAGAGCCTGGCTGGGCAGTGAATAGCTGCTGAAGACCAGGACCAAACAGCCCAACGATCCAAGGAACCCTGAAGAAAGACTTCACATACAGAGTGACAAGTACCTTCCTGCTCTGGGGTGCCCAGGAAACAGTCCAGCCAGCAAGCTCCACACCTGATGGGTTACCCTCTCTGACCTCAGTGCCAAGAAAGTCCCCACAACCCCCACTGCTGGGATTAGCAGTCCTGCCCCAGCCGGCAGTGCCAGCCCCTCCCACCCAGCTCCCCAGCCTCCAGGGACAAAGTACAAAGGGCCACTTCAGTGGAGATGGAGCCTCAGCTCCATCTCTAGCTCAGAATGCTGGAGGAGGGAGGGGGTGCTCCCTACCCCGCCACTGTCCTCTCAGCATGGGGGTGGCTGACGGAGTCAGGCTCTTGCAAGGCAGCTTGTCCTCAACACTGTCTTTGTGGAATGGAGATGGGACTGTGCACAGGGTGGGGGGCAGGGGTTATAGTAGACACGCCCACAGCACAGAACCACCTGTATGGAGGAAGAGGGCACGGCGCTGTGCCCAGTGATATAATTACTAGCCAGCTAGCCACATACACCAGGTCCCCAGGAGCCCCCTCAATCCTCCCATTCAGTGGCCACCTCTGTCCTATATGGCCTACAGGAACTCCTCAAGTCCCCTTCTCTCTGAGCCCACACCCCAGGCTCAGCACTCACCAAGACAACAGTGTGGCTTCTCTGAGAGACTTTCAATCAGGTCCCCCAGGAACCAGTCAAGCTGGCACTGTTCTTGGACCCCACCATCAGTGCTCGCCAAGTTAACAAGTGCACCACCTGTTCTGGAGTCCCAAGCAAGTCCCCAGGACCCAGCCAAAGCTGAACTAGGTCTGCTTCTTGGACTCAGTGCCCTGGGGATAATGTCCAAGCATACTAGAAGGCTGGGAGCTCCCAGGCAATCTTCCTCCCAAGCCTCCAGCCTGGACCGCCCTACCGGAGACCGTGTTGCTGACCCCAGCCTACTGTGCTGTCTCATGACCTATGTCTCCAGCCCCAAGCACAAGCTGACACAGAGGAGGTAATGAACAGAAGTCTTTTGAGTGAATAAATGCCCCTCTTCAAAGCCACACACCTGAAGCTTTTGACAGTACTGCTGGGCTCTCAGGTCTGGTCTGCAGCTCAGAGAAGTGATCAGGCATCCCAGAGTTGTCTGCCTTGCCATCGCAAGCTCCCGAGGCTCCGGAGAAAGTGGCTCATTCATATGAATCCTATGGGTCTCCTCCAGCAAGAGGGATAGTGGTGATGAAGAAAGGAGACTCAGGAAATTACTTCAGCCTTCAGGGTCCTGAGCCACACAGGGCTGGGAGGAGCCATGGGGAGGAAGAATGTGGGGAATGACGGGGAATAGCTGCTGGAGCAGCTTAGGATCCTCCACACTGCTGCTCCCATTGTGTGGTCAACATGCTGCTGAGTATAAAGATGGGCTTATACTGGGAAGATGGAGGAGGTGACAGGCTGGCAGTACTCCCCTGTGATCTGGGAATCTGAGCATCATAATGAACTTGGCCCTGATGAAGCATGTACTCTGGGGCTCTGGGTACCTAGAGAGATGCCTGCCACTTGCTGGTACCCTTTCTTCTCCTCTTCCCCAGTACTCTGGACCACTCCTCTCCACTCTGCCTGGGGCTACAACTGAGAGCCAGACCTGGGTTTGGAAGTCAGCTGTGTAGCCCCTAAGCCATCATGGAGTGGTCTTACGGGTGTGGTGCCATGTCTACAGCACCAGAGTCCCACACACACCTTCTAGCCTAGTGAATAAAAACTGTAGCCAACCACTTTGTCATGCTGTCAGTCTCTGAGGGTAACAGGGCAGAGGCACTAGGGTCCCTCGATATCGTGGGAGGGTACTTCTGCATGGTGGTGAGGGCTGATGGGAAGTCATTCCACAGCAAAGGCAGACTGGACCCTTCTGTGAGGAAGGACCATGACCCTTTAGGGGTCAGGACCTGTCTCTACTGGAGACATACTGGGGGTTCACGATCATCAAAAGGCAGAGGTGCCACACAGGACTTATGGGCTGAGCCCACTACTCCTTACTTCTGTGAGACCACTCCTCTGCTGTGAACAGGAGAACTTTCTTCCCTCTCACCTCAGAAGATAACCTCATTCTTCTATTAAAAGTTCTTAGATGTTGGGGCTGAAGAGATGGCTCAGCAGTTAAGAGCACTGACTGCTCTTGCAGAGGACCCAGTTCAATTCCTAGCACCCACATGGCAGCTATGAACTGTCCTTAACTCCAGTTCCAGGGGAATCTGAAGCCCCCTTCTGATCTCTGCGGCATTGCATGACACAGGTGCACTCACATACATGTAGGCAATATGCTCATACACATAAAATAAAAATAAATAAAATATATATTTTTAAAAGTTCTTAGATATTAGAGGAAATCTGGAAAACACAGCAAAGCACACAGGGCAGCATTACCACCCTCCTGCCATAGCTGGCACCTTTTGGCCTGAGTTCTCACTGGCTCTGCCTCCCGTCTGTACCTTTTTGCTAGAATGAACCATCTCCATGGATTTCCTGCTAGCTTTGGGGCAACCCACATTTTTCTCCATCAAGCTTTGTTCTCTCCACATGGTCTAGAGGACAAAGAGCTCAGAGGCCAGGAACTCTGTTCTCTTCACTCATCCACCACAGACCCGACCCAGATCCTGTGGAGAAATGCCCTGGCTTGGGAACAGAGAGGTTGAGGGATATGGTCCCATGAACTCTAGGATCTCCTACCACATACCACCCAGGACCTGAAGCATCTCTTTGTGGAACTCGGGACAAATCCTAAGTGTCCCAGACCTCAATGTTCCTCCTACATATGGGCAGGTTCAGTTGGACATGAGGCCTGGGGATTCCCAGTTTCACCCCCTCTCTGGGCCAAGGTGAGGCTAATTAGGGCTCAGTTTCACTCTTTTCTTTTTTGGGGGGGTCTTTTTGAGACAGGGTCTCCTTGTAGCCCCAACTGTCCTGGAACTCACTATGTAGACTAGGCTGGCCTTGAACTCACAGAGATCCACCTGCCTCTGCCTCCCAAGTGCTGGGATTAAAGGCATGTGCCACCACGCCCAGCCAGTTTCACTTTTTCTACACTTTCAGGAGATGAGCCAGAAAACCTCCACTCTGTCCCATCATTCTCTCTCTTTGTCATCAAGATACAAGGCACCACAAAGTGAGCCTGTTGCTGGTCCTATCACTTCCCCCAGGGTTCTGGCCAATCTTCTCCCTTTGTTCCAGCATCATTTCCACTAGGCCTGGCACTGTCACAAGGCCCTTGGTACATGTGCTCTACCTATCATCCGATGGGGTAATATGAGGCCCAACCATGCTGCCCCAAGAGATCACACCTGGCTTTTTGTAGGAGGCTTAAGGACGAATGAGAGCTATGCAAAAGAAGAGGTGGAAGGGGGCTTTGAACAAAGGGGCAGCACTTGCAAAAGCCAGCAGGGAAAGCCGGCCAGCCCCTGGACTTCTGGGGTGAGGGTGCTAGTGCCCTCACCTCAAGAACATGAGTCACACCATCCCTCCCTACTGAAAATGCCTGGGGACCATGGTTTCTGTTGCTCTATCCCTAGTGGTGGGTACAGATAGCCAGCTTGTGCTAGAGCGTGGGTCCAAATACATTCAACGACATCCTAGGCCCTAGCCAGCCCTAGGATGCCTGGTCTCTGGAGTTCCCTGTGGGGAGGTGTGCCAGGTGCCCGCTGAGGCATACCTTTGGCTAGGGCTGGACCCAATAGCAAAGTCCTTTGGTGACTATCAGGCCACTCTACATAACTGTAGACCCCTAAGCCCCTGCTTAGCCCCTGTGACCTCTTCCAAGCCAGCCACACTTCAGCTGACACTGTGGGGGTATGCAGTATGACCTTGGACCCATTACCACATTCTCTGGGCCTCTTAAGAGTGAAGACTGTCTTGAGTCATTCCAAGGACCAAGTTAACAATAAACATTCCTGCACCAGGCCCCAGTGAAGGCTGGCTTTGTCCCCGCTGACAAGGTGGGCTCCTGAACACCGGATGTATCCGTGCCCCAAGACTTCATTGTACCCATCAGTCTAGGCAGAAAGTCTTCTCTTCCCATATGCCCCACACAGAAGCAGCACTGTCTTTGAATGGTTTCTGAACCCAGGATGTGACAGGTAAGCTGCCACTGCCGCCCCCGACCCCTGCTCCCACAGAAGAAATAAACCAACAAAGTGTGAAATGATTTATAAGCTACAAAGAGCATGTCCTGGACTCACCCAGTCATGGTCCACCATGCAGCTCTGCTTACAGAACCTCTTCCTGCTTGTGTTACCACCCCAGCCAGGAACTCGGTTTCTACACAGTGAAATGGTTATTCTAGCACCACTGGCCAGGGTTCCTGAGACACAAGAGTGAAGTCACTCAGGAAAGGAAAGTATGGGGCTGGAAAGATGGATAAGAGCACCTACTGCTCTTGCAGAGGACCCAAGTTTGATTCCTAGCACCCATGTTGGGTGGCCCACAAGCACCTATAACTCCGGCTCCAGGCAATCTCACTCATCTCCTCTTCTGGTCTCCTTGGGCACCTACCCCCACACATATATACACATAATTAAAAAACAAGATAAAATTTTAAGATAAAAATTAAAAACGCAGTAAGTGAATGAATAATGCAAAGAAAGGAGTGTAGCTCTGTCAGAATTACTTGCCTATTATGTAGAGGCCCTGGGCTCCTCCCCAGCACTACAAAAGGAAAAAAAAAAAAGAAAGAAAGAAAACTCTAGAACCAAGCATGGTGGTGTACACCTATACATTCCAGCAGGAGGTCACTGCCCGTTTGAGGTCAGCCTGGGCTACATAATGATTTCCAGGCCAGCCTGGGATACAGTGTGAGACTATACCTATAAATAAATAAATAAACAAATAAACAATAAATAAATAAATAAATAAATACTAGAGAGATGGCTCAGCAGTTAAGAGCATGTACTGCTCTTTCAGGGGACTTGATTTCAATTTTCAGCAACCATACTGGGCAGCTCATAACTGCCTGTCACTCTAGCTCCAGGGGATCTGAAACCTCTGGCTTGCACAAGCACCTGCATTCACATGTATATAAACACACACACACACACACACACACACACACACACACACACACACAGAGAATTAAATAAAAAATAAAACAAAACTCCAGTATCTTGGTCCTGTTAGCACCAGAAATATGAGTGGCAACCATTAAGGGTCACAGTACTGGGGTGAGGGGTGGGTGGAGCCCACCCCAATACTGAAAGCAGACTGCGGAAAATCATCACTGTAGCAGCAGAAGTTGCAAAAGAAACAAAAAAAATCTTTGCTGAACCAAGTGTGTGGGGGGAGGAGTCACCACAGGGGCCAGAACTGATGGAAACATTATCTGCAGAGACAGGCCAGTCTACCTGATTGAGAACTTTCAACAACTTCCTGTGGGCTCAGGGTTCTGTCTCTCTCTCATCAGGTTTGATCTCTCTTCCCTGATTGGTCCTGTTTTTCTCTCTATTTGCATGCCCACATTCAACCAATCAGGGTTCACTTGGGCCCAGCAAGTATAGGCTGGCACCTCATTAGAATTCGATGCAAGAGGAAAAGGCCACTCCTTTCAGGACTCATTGGAGACCCCCAATATTTAAGGCAGGGAGCTTGTTCACACTAACCTCCAGGTTTCCAGCTGTAGACAGGAATTAATTCTGGAAGCAGTTCTGGGCCTCCAGACATCAAGACCACCCTCCACATCAGAGACTTGCTGCTCTGCAAGTCTTTGAGAACTGTAAGACTTCGAAGAGCTACAGGCTTGCTCGGTAAGGGACTGAGTCTTAGTTGACATCCTGAGGCCTTCAAGCTCAGAGCTGTATCAACTCTTGGCTAGCATCCCACCACCGCAGCGACTTCAATCCTGTTTCATTTAAATCCCTTGTGGCAATCTGTTTTAAGTTGTTTTATCCCCTTCAGGATTGTTACTCCTGAACTGACAATAAAGTACCTCCCATCTGTACTCCTCAAAGTCTGCCCACTTCATTCTTGAAGGAGGGCAAGAAAAGAACCCACTTGGGGACATTGGGGGGTGGCCAGGAAGACACCTTTTAGATCTTTCACCCATACAGGCCACATTGTATCATTTTCAGAAGTGGCCCTCACCTACTGCCCTTGCAATCACATCCCACAAATACTTAAGGAATATGCATTGAATGCCTTTTGCCTGCCAGGCTGGGTTCCAGGCCCTAGTTCATGCCTGGCACCGGCCCTTCCTATCACCTGCAGTCCTCCCTGTGATCCCTTTCTGAGGAAAATCATCATCATTCAGTTGCCATAGTACTTTGACCACCTGGATCTGCCCAGAGTACAGGCAAGCTCTGGGGACTATGGCCAGGCCAGGCTCAGCCTCCAGGAGCGGCAGTAACGTCAGAAGACAGCAATGGCGTGTAAAGACTTGGGTGCATGAGACCAGAGGTCAAGAACAGTCAAGGGAGTCACTGATCTCATGAAGCAGCCTGCTCTTCGTGGGGCTTTGTGAGGCAGGTGGAGCTCTGTAAGTTCAGAGCTGGCCTGTTCTACATAGTATGA